CGATTTTTCTAAAAGTTCCCTTTTCATAAAAATACTCTTGTAGTTCAACGACAGAACCTTCGCTATTTTGAAAATTTTGGAAAATTTTTCGAAAATTTCCGAGTTGTTCAGGAAAAACGCACAATCAAGACAGCTCGCTTTAATGACGCTATCAAACTTAACGGACCACTTTCACTGCCTATGACAGTGTGACACTTTCCGACCCACTTTTTTGACACCTGTTCCATTCAAAGCTGTCAAAGAAACACTAGACTCTGATGGGATTTGACTGGATTCATTTTTTTACAAACTTCTTGTTGGGTATTTCGGCTCAAAAATTTTTGTCTTTAAAAAAGACAGAATTTCCTCACGTCTTTTTTAAAGACAAACATTTTTGAGGCAAAATACTCAACAAGAAGTTTGTAAAAAAGTGAATCCTCCTCAACAATATAGAACTTATCTACTACTACTACTACCCCAGGAACGTCGGGGGTTCAAGTTCCGCCAAAAGCAGGACATTTTTCTTATTCCAAAAATTAGTTGTCCGCTACGCCAAGAAAAACATTTTTCAAAATAACTGCTAGGGTGCCAACAATTGTAATCTTTACCCCATTTTTTGCACTTTAGCAAAGACATGATGAGCAATTATCATGAACTGAGCGGAGTGAATAAGGCGCTGATCAGCGGCTACAACATCAAGGCCCAGAACTACAACGAGGGCATTGAAACGATGAAACGAATCAACCAAATCATCCAAAAGGCGTCCAGGCTAAGAGGTGGAAGGAAAATGAAAGACAAACTATCAAAAATATTATTTATTTATTTTTTTTGGTTTTTAGTTGGACAACATTCGGCAGTTATGATTAATCATTGCAGAAACGCCATCAAGAACAACAACATTGAAGGCCTAATTAAGATAATTCGCACTGGGGAACTGTAGACTTTGAGTCCCAGCTCCAGATAGATGACTTAGTTAATTGGCTAAAAACAATAAAGTGAAAAATCTTATCCGTATGCACATACGGCATGTTATTGCTGCACCTAATTAACATCAGAGTGCGGTTTAAGTACACAGAAACAGAAGAAAGTGGGCCAAGGGCCCGCGCTGCGGCCCCAAAGGAAAATAAATAATTGCTCATATCAAACAGTGGCGTTTCTTATCTGAGAACACATAGTTTTATCGCAGTTTAGCAACAAGATCAAGTTTTCCGACTCGTTAAAAGCTTAATGGGGGAAGGGGACGTTGGCTCCCAAACGGCAGGACCTGGCCTGGAAGGAAACCCAACAACATTAACCTGAGCTTAAATGGTGTAGGAGTTGGTCAGTATGCGTCGATCCACTTCCGACCAAACAGCCAATACGAACGACTCAATATCACACTCGTTGACGCCGCGCAGGATCCTGAAGTACCCATTCTCGCCCCAATCAGTCCCCCAACTGTTTGCCACTTTCTGCAATAAAACCCCCATATTTCCTCCTGCTTTTGCATAGTTTCCCCAGTCTCCCCACTCACCCAGTACTTCGTTAGCCCCAATGGAGTAAACTCCTCGCCCCAGCCCACAATCCTCACCGAATGGTACCCTTGGAGGTGCGGCAAGGAGGCGCCAATATGCCGATAGATGCCCTCTTTGTACGAGAAGAAGTCATGGTAGACCCTGAGGGTGGCTGCAGAAACCCCCGCGTTAACCAGCATTAACCAGCACTAATACAGCCTACCTTGTACTGGTCCAGAGCGCATTATTTCATACATAATATCGGTTTCGTTGCCCAGTCTGTAGGCCGGACCTACTTTGTACCTTCCGGTTCTTTCACTGTACCGTGGGGGAGTGCAGCCGGACGCCCTTAAAGGCCCGAAGCGTCTAATCGAGCAAATTGTGTTGTTGTTGCCGGTGTATGGAAAACAGTCCTCATCAACCACACTGGAAAGTTTAGCGATGGTTTTTCGATTTGGAGGCGGGTTTTTTTTGGAAATCCTACCCGTATTTCCGGACGAATGTCCACGCCCTATCCAGACGGCCTCCTTCGCATCCAGTCGGTCTGGTGATGCAGGATAAGATGTTTTGGGCACTCAGCTGGACCTCTTCACGACCTTTGGATATTATGCCATATCTACAACATAAATCAGTCAACCGGGGAACCTTTCCAGGTGGCATCCAAATTCTTTGAGATTTGACTGAGAAGACGCTTTTACGGGCCCAAAGTCCGAGCTAAGTACGAAAGGCTAGAAATAGGGAAAAACTCGTGAAATAACAAGTGGACTAAAATTTTGAATGTCGCTTCCAAGCTGCCACCAATGAACAGTTGCTCGCAACTCAGTTAATTTTGAGTATTTTTGAGGAGCAAAAGCAGCGTTGTGTTGAGGAATTAGGTACCTAAAAATGGTGTTAGAATTTTTGCAATCGACCGGCAAACACTCATGCGGTTACATTTTGAATGGGTTTTTAGGCTCAATTTCAAGCTAATAAAGCAGACTAAATTTTAGATAAGTTCTATTTTGTTGAGGCGGATTCATTTTTTTACAAACCCTTTTTCGGGTAATTCGCCTCAAAAATTTTTGTCTTTAACAAAGACAGAATTTCCTCACGTCTTTTATTACAGATTGATAAATAGTGCTACTATTTCGCAATAAGAACGAATTATTTATCAAAAAGTAATCAAAAACTATCACCTAGAGGGTATCCTGCGACACACTTAGGCTCAAGCTGTAAGA